CGGCTGATTTTTTTTTGATTTATTGTAGAGATGAGGTCTCGCTGCCCAGGCGGGTCTCGAACCCGCGGGCTCAGGCAATCCACTCACCTCAGCCTCCCAAAGGCGCGGGATTACAGGCTGAGCCACCAAGCCCGGCTCACCTTGTTTTTATATACTCCTGGCTGCCTGCACCCATCCTACTTGCACATAACCTCCCTTTGGCCATCAAGTAGCCAGGCTGCAGTAGTTCTCTGTCAGCTGGCACCCACCAATCCCAGGGGGAACCTAGCACTCCCAACATGGTGCCCCCAATCCAGGATGGTGCCTAACACTCCAAGATGGCAACCACTAATCCCAGATGGTGCCCACTGATTCAAGATGGTGATGGTGCCACCACTCCAAAAGGGAACCCACCAACCAAGATGGTGTTGGCCAGGATTCTGGGGCCCATGAGTCCTTGCCAGAGGAAGAGCCACAGAAATGCAGAGAGAAACTGAGGCTGGAAAGGCTGTTAGGATGGACACCAAAGCCTTCTGTCAGACGAGACAGGACTCACATTCCTGGAAAATTCTGCTCCTGCCTGCCTGGAGCCTTCTGGAAGGGCCTGGGATGCACAGGGTAACTCCTGGGTGCACCACTGATGTAGCCCCTCCAGCCAGCCCTCCATGGGTGGCTTCAGAGCACCTTCCAAGGTTCAGCAAGCAGGGACCTTTGCCTGAAGGGACAAGATACATACCACTGATGCAAAGACATATTTCTGATCCTTTTCTTGTAGCAGCAAAAGCACGTCAGTCAGCAGGACAGCAAGAACATCTGAGGAGACAGCACAGAGGACGTGTCTTAAAGGTTGCGTGGCTGGGTCCTGCTGGCAGTATCATGGACACCAGTACCCAGGAGGGAATGGACGCTTCCTTCCTGCCTCATTCCATTACCCTTCTGGGTTTCAACACCTAGCACCCACAAGTGGCCAGAGCCTCATCTGAGACATCCCTTCAGTGTTTGGAGCTTAAGCCGTGGCTCCTGCCCGTGGTCAGGCTGCACTGCCCCGACAGTTCTTTTTGCCGTAATGGCAACTTCTGAGTCTGGCACTGGAGTACTCCCCTGATTTCCCAACATGGACCGACTCCTCTGTTCTCCCTGTGACTTGAGCTACTGCAGTGACCTGGGCAAGGACTGGTCTCAGTCCCCTCGTGCCCCCAAGCTCACTCAGTGCCTTGCCCCTATATGGACAGCTTACACAGCAAGGCATGTGCAGATTCTGAACTCAGTTTTGGTGGGAATGTTTGGTTGCAGGCAGTGTACAAATCACCTTTTAAGGGAGCTGCTTCTGACACCCTTGTCTAAACCAGGTATGCTCTCTACACTCAATTCTTTCGCACTGTAGCCTGCTGGCTTGCTTTAAAGCATTTGCCATGTCTGTGTTTTGTCTGCTTGTCTTTCTCTTCTGGTCCCCTGGCTGAAGTCCAGGAGGGCAGGGGCCAGGCCTCATCTGGTCAGGTGTATTCCCACCACTCAGCTCGGTGCCTGAATCTTATCTGTGCAATACACATCCACTCAAGTGACACACAAACACAGGCTGTCACTTTCCACCCCGAGGAGGCTGGGATGTTTCTAGGGGCTCGGAAAATGGTCAGGAAACCCAGAGGTGAGTCCTGAGTACTCTCTGGTTTAGAACTGCAACTTGAAAGCAGGGCTCAGAGCACCTGGGCAGTGAGTGGGATGCTCGGGATACTGATCAGCTGGCCTAGTGGCACTCTCTGACTACACAGGGACCCTTCAGGGCTGGGCCGACAGCAGGCAGGCTGACGGCAGGCAGGCCTGCAACTGAATCCAGATGGCAACTGTGTGTGTTTGGAACCCTGGAGTCAAACCTGAGGTGTCCTGATGCCAATACCTTGAGTTTCTGTTCAGAATTCAACAACTCAGTGTGCCCTCCTGGTTTGTACTACAGTATTTCAGAGACCAGAGAGAAGGGTGCTGATACAGCCACTTTGTTTTTATATACTCCTGGCTGCCTGTGCCCATCCTACTTGCACATAACCTCCCTTTGGTCATCAAGTAGTCAGGTTGCAGTAGTTCTCTGTCAGCTGGCACCCACCAACATGAGAGAGAACCTAGCACTCCCAACGTGGTGCCCCCAATCCAGGATGGTGTCTAACACTCCAAGATGGCAACCACCAATCCAAGATGGTGCCCACTGATCCAAGATGGTGATGGTGCCTCCACTCCAAAAGGGAACCCACCAACCAAAATGGTGTCCACTAATACAAAAGGGCACCTAGCACTCCCAACATGGTGCCCTCAATCCAGGATGGTGCCTTGCCTAACACTCCAAGATGGCAACCAGCAATCCAAGATGGAGCCCGCTGATCCAAGATGGTGAGACCATGCCTAGAGGGTACCCACCAACCAGGATGGCACCGACGAGTCCAAGAGGGCACCCACAACTCCAAGATGGCACTCACCATGCCAAGATGATACACACTGATCCAGGATGATGTCACCAATCCAAGACAATGCCACCAATCCAAGTCAGTGCCACCAATCCAACATGCCACCCACTGAACCAAGAGGATGCCCACCACTCTAAGATGGTGCATACTGATCTAGGATGGTATCATCAATCCAAGATACTGCCACCAATCCAAGATGGCACAATAATCCAAGATAGTGCTATTGATCCAAAATGGTCCCATGGATCTAAGATGGTGCCATGGATATAAGATGGCACCACTGAACCAGGATGGCATCACTGATCCAAGATAGTACCTAACACTCAACACTCCAGACGGTGCCCACTGTTCTAGGATGGTGCCACCAATCCAAGATGATGCCACCATCCCCAAGATGGTCAATCTAAGCCACTGCTACTAATCCAAGATGGCACCCACCACTCCAAGACAGTGCCCACTGATCCAGGATGGTGTCAGCCATCTAAGATCCAACATGATACCACCACTCCCAAGACCGTGCGACCACTTCAAGATGGCACCTACCACTCCAAGACAGTGCCCACTGATTCAATATGGCGCCCACCAGAGGTGGCCAGAAGCAGGCCTTTACCTTTCAAGCGCCCTGATGTGGTCTTCCAGCACAGTGTGCCCTCCAGATGGAGTTGCCTCTGAAGCATGTCCTCCTTGCGGAAGGTGAGTCCATTCTTGAGTTTGCTGGAGGACTTCAGGTCCATCTTCCCTGTGATCTCCCTGAGGCGCTGACTCTTCTCACACTCACTGACCTTGGTGTCCACTTGTGAGATGATGTCTTTGATGAGGTTCAGGGCCTGGGTCAGGTCTTCGTAGTCCTCGGTGTCAGCTGCCACATACAGCAGAGTTAGCATCTTTGTGTTCATGAACACAACAAAAGCAGACACACTACAGAAGGGTGGGTGGGATGTGTGAGGAGGGTTCCCTGAGGCCACCATGCAGAGGACCTTTAAGAACCACCTCCCAACTATGATCTACTGAGATGTAAATGGGTCTCAAAAATAAATGCAACACTTCAGAGTTTCCTTTTAACCCCGTTAGAGCTTCTGTTGAATGCGGAAGCTCAGATGCAATTCAAGTGATAAAACCACTCTGCCCAGCTCCGCCAGCCACTACTCAGTAAACAAACTCCCTGTGTCTGCTACCCTTTCTTAGAAGACTCCCTCTACTGCCTGTCACGAATGAGAGCTGGCTCATCTCACTCCAAGAATGTGGCTTTTGTGGCAGGGGAACCTGCTTGTTCTCCCACGGCCCGAATTCACTGGAGTGGCATCGCCCTGAGAACTCCTTGCTGGGCTGTGTGCCCTTCTCTGGTCTCCATGGCTCCAGGCACATCCCTCTGTTAGCCCTGGTGATGCGACACAGAGGTCATTGCTGGGCCTGTGACCTTAACAAGGGCCCTGTCTCCACCCATTCATCCACACCACAGATACTGACGAAGGCCTGCCAGTATTGGGGGGAGGGCAGACAGTGGATGAGTGAGACCTGGTCACCACCCCATCTTTCTTGCCAGACACCTCAGCACCCAGCAGAGTGGATTCCACAGGGACTGTATCTAGTCTGCTGCTGACACAGGGACTGGGGGACAGAGACCCTGCTGGCAGCAGCGAGGGACGGGTGGGGGAGACCAGCCTACCCTCCGTGTTCTGAATGATGCGCTCCACCAGCACGGGGTATTTGGTGATGCGCTGCGTAACCAGGAGGATGCACTCCTGCACACCGAGCCGCCTCACAATGGAGAAGTTGCTGATTTTCTAGGAAATGGAAGAAAAGACTGAGCTGCGTTAACATCTCGGCTCCTGCCGAATCGATTAATGACCGGTTACCAAGGCTGGGTTCCTTTCTTTTCTGGCTCAGCAGGACCTTTTGCTGCTTTGGAGGGGACATGCACTGGATACCTGAAAGCAGGGGTCACCTGCTGTCTACAGAAAGGCCACAAAAGGCCAGCCGTGGTGGTTCATGCCTGTCATCCCAGTGCTTTTAGAGGTAGGTCAAGGTCGGAGGATTTCTTGAGGCCAGAAGTTTGAGACCAGCCTGGGAAACACAGTGAGACCTCATCTCTATGAAAAAATTTAAAAATTAGCCCAGTGTGCTGGCACATGCCTATACTCTCAGCTACTCAGGAGGCTAAAGTGGAAGGATCTCTTGAACCCAGGAGTCCAAGGCTACAGTGAGCTATGACTGCACCACGGCATTCCAGCCTGGGCAACAGAGCGAGACCCCGACTCAAAAATAAAAAAGAAATGAAGAAATAAGAACCAGCCAGGGGTGGTGATGGGAATCATCTGTCAAGGTGTCCCTCCCCCCCACAAAGACCCTGACCCTGATCCACACTTGTCAGAGCCCTCCAGAACTAGCTTGGGCACATGCCTTCCACGTGATGGTTCTGATGCACATTCCTGGCTGAGAACCCAAGAGACTGTCACCTGAAGTGGCTGAGAATGGCTTCCCATGCTCTCTGGTTCACACCACACATTCTCCCTGTCTGCTCTGATGTGTTTTAGGGGTGTCAGCAACTGAAAAGAGCCACTTCTTAAGGGGACATGAGAGGCACTGTGGATGTTTTTTTTGAATGGGCATCTCATTCTGCCGCCCAGGCTGGAGTGCTATGGCACAATCATGGCTTACCTCAGCCTCCACCTCCTAAGCTCATGCAATCCTCCTGCCTTAGCCTTCCATGTAGCTGGGACTACAGGTGTGCACTACCCACGCCCAGCTAATTTTTTTACTTTTTGTAGAGAAGAGGTCTATTATAATGCCTAGGCTGGTCTCGAATTCCTAGGCTCAAGTGATTCTTCTGCTCCTGCCTCCCAAATTGCTGGGATTACAGGTGTGAGCCACTGTACCTGGCCCACTGTGGAATTTGTGATAGGCTGTGGGACAAAGTTTCACTGGAGTCCTGCCCCCTCTGCATACATTTCTAGGTGTCTCGGGCTCACACAGCCTGGTGGTCATTCCAGCTCCATCCACTGGATGAACTGCAGCCCCAAAGTGGTTCTCTCCTTTCATATCTACCTACTGTGATGATCATGGAATGGAATTGAAATGCACGTCATCCCTAACTTCAGACTGTGAGTTGCTGAATGTCACTTCTGCAGGAAGTCCTGAATGGGCCACAGGTGAGAAGGTTGTGTCAGAATCAGGGGTTAGGGCCCCTGAAGAGGCGAACACTACTGGGATCAAGCGGCCTTAACCCATTCGGAGTGTGGAGTCCAGGTGCGGTTTAGCTCAACATGATGACACTGGCTGGGTCTTGAGTACCTGCCCACTCTTGGGCAAAGGAGGCAGGAGGTTCATTCCACAGACCCCGGAGGCAAGCAGGGACCAGCAAAGGGGCGGGGGTTTGGAGTGACGCTTCTTCCAATAGCCAGAGCCTCCAAAGGCATAAAGGGGTGGCTCTGGGAGGGGCCAGTTCCCAGCGTGGGATGGCCCCTCCAAATGATCCCGAGTCTCCCTGACTGCGGGAGACGTGATAGTCAGCAGGTCCCATGTGGGGGCCTGCAGGGGACTTTCGGGGCCCACCCTGGTATGAGAAGGAACAAAGCCCTGGATATACTTTGCTTGGATTCACATCTTGGGATTCTATGTAAAATTTCACCAATGTGTCCTCAATGGGGCTCTGGTGATAAAACTAAACCAAGCCTTGCCAATCACTGCTTTCTAACAGGTGCCCTGTGATTTCACAAACCTCAAGACTCTATGGTTCTGTGGAGAAAACTGACAGCAAAGAAGATAAGTTTTTAATTAAAAAAAAATTTTTTTTTTACCTTGATCAAGTTTTGAAATTTCTTGTTTTGCTGCAAAAGCAGCTTGTAATGGCTGACTGCTTCATTGTGGCCGCTGCAAAACACACCGTATTTTTCCTTCATTCTCTCCCCATTTTCACCTGAAAACTGAGAGGAGAGAGAAGGGAAACATTACAACAATGAAACATGAGAACCACCAAGGTTTACTTTCATCTAGCTCATCTGACTCTGCTAAAATAAATCCTGGATTTACTTGTGACTTACTTCCTAACATGTCCTCCAACAGAGAAATGCTTTCATGTAGGTATGTAATCCCAAAGTGTAATACAGAAAAAATGAGAAAACTTTCTGCTTAGGGACTTTGCTACATCACAGATGCTGGAAAGCTTCCTGAGATCCAAGAAGAAAAAAATAGATTTGGCCAGGTATGGTAGTTCATCCCTCCACCAGCACTTTGGGAGGCCAAGGCAGGAGGATCGCTTGAGCATAGGAATTTTAGACCAGCCTGGGCAGCAAAGTGAGACCCTGTCTCTACAAAAAAGTTTTAAAAATGAGCCAGGTGCATGATGGTACCTGTAGTCTCAGCTACTTGGCAGGTTGAGGCAGGAGGATCACTGGAGCCCAGAAGTTTGAGGCTGCAGGTAAGCTATGACTGCACCACTGCACTCCAGTCTGGGCAACAGGACCAGACTCCATTAAAAAAAGGAAGGAAGGGCCGGGCTTGGTGGCCCAGCCTGTAATCCCAGCACTTTGGGAGGCTGAGGTGAGAGGATTGCCTGAGCCAGCGGGTTCGAGACCTGCCCGGGCAACTTGGCAAGACCTCGTCGTCTCTACAATAAATCAAAGAATAGCTGGGCGTGGTAGTGCGCGTCTGTAGTTCTGGCTACTTGGAATGCTGAGGCGGAAGGATCGCCAGAGTCCAGCAGATTGAGACTGTGGTGGCTGGGAGCGTGCCACTGCACTCCAGTCTGGGTGACAGAGTGAGACTCCAACTCAAAAAAAATAAAAGGAAGGAAGGAAGAAGGGAGGGAAGGAAGGAGGGAGGGGGCTTTGAGACTGCTGGGCTAAGCATAGCCATACCTACCTGCTGTACCAGGAGGTCCCCAATCTTCTGGATGACATAGTTCCGGTCACTGCCCTCCTCCAGGGACTCCTGGCGGCGCTCCTTGAGCCGGGAGAGGAACTGGCTGTGCATATCCAGCAGGTCGTTGGCACAGGGGAAGAGGCGGCTGACGGCCTGGCTGCTGAACTGCAGCTCCTCCTGCAGGGCCCTGGAGTACACCTTCAGCATGATCTTGAGGGTCCGCACGTGGTGCGCCTCGGTCTGCATCAGCTCTGCGGGGGCATGGATGGCAGGACTCACCTACCCAGCCCCGCCGGCACTGGTGGGTGCTACCCGCCCTGTGCGTGCTGGGCCAGCTTTGGAAAGTTCTCTGCATCCTCAGGGTCTTTCTTACTGCCCACAGTGTCTAGGTGTCCTACCCTCCCCAGTCCAGGGCTGCAGGGGTCCCAGCCTAAGGGAGCAGGAACAGGAGCGGCCCCAGGGCCATAACACCACAGGAGGGTTTTGTGGCTGGAGTCAACTGAAGATGTTTCAAGGCTGTATTAAGTAAGAAGATTGTTCTGAGGAATGTCACTCCTGTGGATGTGAAGTTCACACATCTGTGTGTCTCCAATCACAACCAGACTGTGGTGACCTGGAGGTCTATGCCCCTCCAAATTCATATGCTGAAATCCTGACCCCCAAAGTGATGGCATTAGGAGGTGGAGCCTTTGGAGGTGGTCGGGTCATGAGGGTGGAGCCCTCACGATGGGATTAGTGCCCTTAGGAAAAGGATCCATCAGAGACCACAGAGGGACAGAGCTGGAAGGTGCCATCTGTAAGCCAGACAGATGAAGAGACATCACTAGACACTAAATCTGCTGGCGCCTTGATATTGGACTTTCTAGAATTTTAAGCAACAAACAGCTGTTGTTTACAACCCCCAGTCTTTGGCATTCTGTTAGAGCAACTAGAACAGACCAAGATGGTCACCAGCAAGGTGACCTGGGCATTTGACCAGACCCTCCACACAGACGTGTTCTAACAAAATCCTCCCCAACCATCTCTTCCCTGGCGCAGGACACAGGGCTGGGTGGGGAGGCAGGTGGAGCAGGACATATGGTCTCAGGGAAGGTTGACTGGAACCCAGACTCCCAGGTGGAATAAGAAAGAGAGAAAGGAAGAGAGGGGAGGAGAAGGGAGGAGAGAAGAGAGAAGGGAGGTGAGGGGAGGGAGGGAGGAAGGAAGGTGGGTGGGTGGGTGGAGGCTGGCATGGCCCTGGGCTCTGGACTTCTTACCATAAAGGACATCCTGTCTTTTCACCACCTCCCTCTTTTGTTTCTTGGCATAGGCCGGGTCCACGGCCAGGCTCCAGGACTCAGCCTCAAACTCGTGGCTGTCCGATTCGATCTCGTTCCTCAGTGAGGCAGTATAGGGATCTGAGGGAAGAATGAGGGGCTGTTGGGGGTCTGGGGCCCCCCACATGGAGTCCTTCCCATGGGCAAGCTGATGTGGGTCCCAGCCCCTCCCAGGATGGACAGGGACTGTGTGACAGGTGCGAGAGAATCAAGATGACCGTACCTTCTACAAAAATGGACTCAGCATTGGAAGATGTGAGTGACAGAGAGTCATCAGCGGCCAGCTTAAATTTTAAAAACACGGAATCGGCTTCATCCATCTCTCCTGTGATTGGTCTAAGTGAAAATAACAAAAACAATTAAATCAGAAAATCGAGTTAAACACACACAACCCCATGCTATGAAGGCAGATCAGTTACTCCATCTACTTAAAGACTCTCTGAGAACTTTCCAGATTTCAATAGAAGCCTCAATTTTGTCACAGATCATTTTGTAAAAGCAGGAGACTCTCTGTCAATGTCTCATCAGGACTTCTTCCACCGTAACTGCCGCTGATGTTCGGGTACATTCTACAGGAGTATGAACTGCAGACTTCCTTGACTGACCGCCGGAGCCCCTGGGATTCTTCCTGCCAGGAGTCAGGCGGACACAGCCTCACTGTTGAGGGTCGGGGACAAGTCCCTCCTCCAAGGAAGAAGACCATCTCCTGCTTTCCCCACCAGCTCACAGAGGGGTCCCCACAGACACGATAGGTTCTAGCTCACTTTCTACCCGGGACACAGATGAAGGTAGCATCGCAGGCACCACCCCAGAGTCCTCTAAGACCAGATAAGGCAGAGATAATGGGACACGTCCTCCATGGCGCCCCCCGGTGGGATTCTGAGCCTCGCCTTGAGGACAGGAAGGAGCCCTGACTGAGGGATGAGTCTGAGACTCCTCTAGAGAATTAAGCAAGCTGGCTCCATGGGTGGCCAAGCACACCCCTGGACGCACTGTTTTTGAAAAAGAAGAGACATGGGTCTAGCAGGGACTTCACCGCTCAGCACCGGGGTGCGGGGTGGGGGTTGGAGGGGGGCTGTGCTGACTCACATAGATCTCTGTAGGGTCTTATGTGGGGGAGGCTGTCAACACCTCCCCGCCCCCGACCGTGGGACGCCATCTGCCTGACGGCAGAGAGGGGACCCTGCTTACCCGAGTCGTGTCCCAGTGCCAGCCAGGCTCGGTGTTGGCTGGGGACCTCCTTTCTGAGAGACCGTCATGCCGACATTCCTGGACAGGGCCGGGCTGCCATCGGACACGAGGGTGCCGCTGGGATGCTCCTTGAGCGAGGCTGCGACAGAGGCAAAGACAGAGTTGGTGCTCAGAAAGTGGGTAGGACAGCGGAGGTCGCCGGCACGGAAACCCCGCTCTGACTGTGGCCGCAGCACAGACAGGATCTTGGAAGTGAGCAGCTCGTTATCCAGGAAGACGTTCTCGCTCCATTTCCTGGGGAAAGAGCTGTAGAAAGACAGCTCGGGGTGGCCGGGGAGTGCGCTGTGCCTGTCACCGCTTTTCGAGTGTGTGTTCCCCATGGTTGCGCCCGGGGCTCTGAGACCTGGTGCGGTCCCAGGCTGGGCTGCACTGTTTTTATGCCTCAGTGGGATCCTTCTAGAAGACAGAGCTGCGTCTTCCCTGCTGTATTGGCTGAAGCAGTGGGTCTGGAGCCCAGGAAATTGGTCCCCACTGTGACCGTTTAGTGCAGGAACTGCAGTCTTTTCTCCTTGGGTAAAACAAACAGAACCCCCGCCCCTTGCTCCCCTTGGTCTTTGCAGGGGGTAAGAAGCAAGAAGACAGTTTGAGTTTGCTGTGAATAATCTAAGATCATGAAATACTGAGCTCTGGGCTTGGCGTGGTTCATGCCGACACCACGCAAATGATGATAATTGATCTGCGATTGGGTGTTGGGATGGCTCTAAGACCCAGAGACCGCAGGGCACAATGTTCAGCCGCCCTGGCTGTCAGCACTCAGGTAGAATTCTACCGTCCAAGTGGAGGTGAGACTCTGATTCTGATTATAAACCAAATCAGCAGCTGGGGCCCCAAAGGGCAGTTTATACCTATTTGCTCATTTATTTAAGACATCAGATCATAGGATGCATGTGCCCACCAGTAAACTTTCCCACTGATAGAAAAATGCAACTATTTTATTTTTTATTATTTTAAGAGACAGAGGCTGGGCTCAGTGGCTTAGTCTGTAATCCCAGCACTTTGGGAGGCTGAGGTGCTGGATTTGGATTGTCTGAGTCCGTGAGTTCAAGACCAGCTCAGGCAACTTGGTGAGACCTCATCTCTACAATAAATAAAAAATTAGCCGGGTGTGGTAGCATGCACCTGAAGTTCCAGCTACTTGGAAGGCTGAGGTGGAAGGATCGCCAGAGCCCAGCAGGTCTACGCTGGTGTGGCTGTGAGTGTGCCACTGCACTCCAGCCTGGGCGACAGAGTGAGACTTCAACTCAAAAAAATAAAAGACAGAGTCTTGTTCCAACACCCAGGCTGGAGTACAGGGGTGTGATCATAGCTCACTGCAGCCTCCAACTCCAGGGCTCAAGCAATCCTCCTGCCTCAGCCTCCTGAGTAGTTGGGATTATAGGCACCACCACGCCCAGCTAATTTTTGAATTTTTTTGTAGCGATGAGGTCTCTCTATGTTGCCCAGGCTGGTCTTGAACTGCTGGGTTCAAGCAATCCTCCCACCTCAGCCTCCAAAAGTGCTGAGATTACAGGCATGAGCCACTGTGCCCGGTCAGACACAACTCTTAATGACAGCTTAGCATCATTTATTAGGCTGAGTTCTCTCCTATTTGACAAGTTGACCATTAAAGTCAGGCCTAGCTGAGATGGGCTGTGTGGCTGGTTTATTCTCTCATTTTATAAAATCACACCTTAAAGTTCTGCTCAAGTAAGAAGAGACAGCAGCATTAAAAAGAAATCTGGGCCCAGCACGATGGCTCACACCTGTAATCCCAATGCATTGGGAGGCTGAGGTGGGAGGATCACTTGAGGTCAGGAGTTCAAGACCAGCCTGGGCAACATAGTGAGACTCAATTTTTATAAAAATTCAAAAAAGTAGCCAGATGTGGTGGCACATGCTTATGGTCCCATCTATTTGGGAGGCTGAGGTGGAAGGATCACTTGAGCCCAGGAGTTGGAGGCTTCTCTGAATGACTTTTAATTTAAGTGGAAATTAAAGGTGACTGCAAACATGCAGGTGGGTATGTATTAGAGATTTTTGGGCAGAGAAGTAATAAAGGAAGCATGTAAACGGAGACATTAGCCACTAAGCTGTGTGACACCACATTATGCATGTTCTGAGTGGCTTTCTTTCTTTACCACAGCCCAGCATGGCAAGGATGATATTCACTGAGTGACCGCAAACCATCTGCTGTCATGGTAATAAATGGTTAACAATAACTATTATTATAGTAGGCAAAGGGGATGAAGCTGACACTCATGTAGAAACACCCAAGCACAAAGACAGAAAGCTGAAATTGAAGGTTGTGTAGTCCAGGGCGGGCACTTCCTGCCATTTCCACACCACACTCAGCCCGGCCCAGGCAATTATGACCTAAACGTACAAATAGGGGATAAATCCTTAAATGCGTCCTTCACCCGGCTGGCATCCTGACATGGCTGACAGATTGTTCCCTTGAACACAGGTCCCGCCTAAAGTCAGACAGATTCTGCTTTAATCAAAGAGCACATGGAAGAAAAGGTCACTGTGAATACACTCCAGGAATCACGGACTCTGAAGAATTTTAAGAAACTATGGGGCCAGGTACAGTGGCTCATGTCTGTAATCTCAGCACTCTGGGAGGCCAAGGTGGGAGTGCTGCTTGAGCCCAAGAGTTTGAGACTGGCCTGGGTAACACAGTGAGACCTCATGTCTACAAAAACAAACAAACAAACAAACAAAAAACAGCCGGGTGTTGTGGTGTGTGTCTGTAGTCCCAGCTACTCCTACTAGGGAGGCTGAAGCAGGAGGATAGTTTGAGCCCAGGAGTCAGAGGTTGTGGTGTGCTGTGATCGTGCCACTGTACTCTAGAGTGGGCAACAGAGTGAGACTCCAACACAAGAACTATTGGGAGTGCTAACTTTATGGTAATAGACTTAAATCTTCCTTTGATGATTTAGAAAACACTAAAGTTTTCATGTCTTAGCATCATGGCTAGGGAGACCAGGTACCCCAGGACCCAAAGGGGCACAAGGGATAGAACTTAGGATAAAAGAATGAAGGCCTCGCTAACATACGATACAACTTATCTTTTGTTCTGATTATTGTCTGTCACCCAACAGAGTGTGGAAGACGACAGAAGAAAATGAAAGGCACTCCCGAACAGAGTGGGAGCTGCCCATGAACACATGCCAAGAAAACACTGTTTCGGCAAATACAGAATGATCGCAGCAGCAACTCCACTGCTGGGTATTTGCCCAGAAGATGGAAAGCAGCGACCCGAACAGATTCTTGTACACCCGTGTTCACAGCGGCATGATTCACAATAGCCAAAAAGCAGAGGCAACCCAATGGGCCGCGCAGGGACGAACAGACCCACACGATGTGGTCCGTCTGCACAATAGAATACGGCTTGGCCTTTGCGAGGAAAATAGCTCTGATACGTGCTGCTACTGCATTAAGGACATGAAGCTTAATGCCATAAGGCAGGCACAAAAGGTCACATCCTGTCTGATTCCACCTGCAGGAAGCACCTAGAGGAGTCAAGTTCACAGCGACAGTAGTGTGGGGGGGTGCCGGAGGGGGGTGTGCCAGGGGTTGGGGGAGGGGACAGGGAGTGAGTGTTTCATCAGGACAGAGATTCTGTTTGGGAAGATAAGAAAGTGATGGTGGTACAACCACGTGAATGTGTTTAATGCTGTTGAATTAGACACTTAAGATGATTAAAATGGTAAATTTTATTTTATATATATTTTACCACAATTTTTTAAAAAAAGAAATCATTGTTTCTTTGCAGTGATGGAATGGTTCTATGTCTTCTTTTTTTTTTTTTTGAGTCAAGGTCTTACTCTGTCGCCCAGTTCACCACAGCCTCCAAATCCTAGGCTCAGGCAATCCTCCCAACACAGCCTCCTGAGTAGCTGGGACTACCGGCGCCACCACACCTGGCTATTTTTAAATTTTTTTGTAGTAATGAGGTCTTACCACCTTTTTTTTTTAAACACAGGGTCTGGCTCTCACTGAGGCTGGACTGCAGTGGCACAATCATGGCTCACTGTAGCCTTTAACTCATCACTCAGGGTCAGGTTCCAGACAAAGAGGACCCAATCTAAGTGTATTTCCCATAGAAACCACAATAAAAGCTCTTACTCAGTCTCCCTTCTGTCCCCAACCAACCCTGGTGTTTCCCCATGTGACCCTGCCTCCAGCATCTAGGGGACTGAAAACAACTTCTTCCTTCAAGACAGTCTTTTTTGTGTCTGTGTGTCTTACCATGCCTGTTTAAAACAAACCCTGGGAATCCTAAAAACACCAGTTGCCTGGGGGCCAGAGTTCTGCCTGGAAGGGCTGGGAGAGCCTCCAATCTTCTGCTGCAGTGTTCTGACATATATATGGAGGGTATAACACCAGGCCAAGCTGTAGTGACCCTGTGAGTATTCTAAAAGTCACTGAATGCACTTAAATGTATGAACTGTATGGTCTGTGAATTACATCTCAGTCAACCTACTAAATAGGCAGACTGACACCTGTGATGCCCAGCTATCTTTCTGCAGTAGGAGGATAAGACATTTGTAGTCCAACATATAGTATGGGCCGGGCACAATGGCTCATGCCTACCATCCCAGCACTTTGGGAGGCCGAGGCGGGAACACTGCTTGAACCCAGGAGTTCGAGACTAGCCTGGCCAACATAGTGAGACCTCATCTCTACAAAAAATAAAAAAATTAGCCAGGTGTGGTGGTGTGCCTGCAGTCCCAGGTACTGGGAAGGCTGAGGTGGAAGGATCGCCTGAGCCTAGCAGGTCAAGGCTGTGGTGGCTGTAAGCATGGGTGACACTCAGCCTGGGTGACAGAGTGAGACCCGGACTCAAAAAACAAAACCAAAAAGCACCCCTTCCCATAAAAAACCATATAGTTCCTGAGAGCCAGAAATCCATATTTCTCTCCTGCTCTCATGTTTCCTACAGCAGGTGCCTACGGCATTTGAGTTCAGCCTGTGTTGTTCAGCACCGTCTGCACAGCCACAGCAGACACTCTGGAGCCTAATTAACACCGTCTGCCTACTGCTGAGAGGTGCGATCGATGGATCGGCATGTACCTGGCCTGCTGTGGCGGCTATAAG